TTGCTCTTCTTCAAACATTTTGAAAAAACGATTTCGTTCTTCTGTTAGCAACCTTATTTCTTTTTCACAAAACAAAAGCTTTTCTTTTGAACTTTGATGCTCCAAATGACATTGGTCGAGATTTTCAAGAATTTCTGTGAAGAAATCAGAAGAGGAGGAAGTAGATACCTCTTGATCTTTTTTCACAGAGGAGTCTGTCTCAACATCAGCCACCCCACAGAAGAGTTCATCCTCTGTGTCTGAGTCTTTCCATGCAAGAAGACCCTTTTGATTATCATCGTCAGAGGATTCATCTGTGACTAGTTCACTAGATTGAGCTAGTAGTGACTTCTATTGGTAGTATTCAGCCTTCTTTCTGTAGAAGGCTGCGTCTTTTGGACCCCTTTGTGGTGCCCTGGGTCTTCTGGACCAGCAATCTGCAGCATAGTGGCCAGGTTAGCCACATTTGAAGTAGCCATCCTTGGGCTCTTCGTTCCTCTGTTCTTCATCCCTCTGAAAGGGCTTCTGCTCCTTCTCTTTATTCTCATACCTCTCTCCTTCTGTGAAGCTTCTGCGATTGAAGCTTCTGTACTCCTTCCTGTCTCACAAAATGAGAGTTATCACACCCCCAAACTTGAGGTATTACTTATCCTCAAGTAAAAGAAAATAATTAAAAAGACACAAAAAGAAAGGAACAAGAACAAAATACTTACGTAAGGTGTTGGAAATTCGTCTAGTAAAGAGGATGTACAATTTCCTTGCTTGATATTCGTAGTGTTGCCGTTAATCAKTAGGGCTTTCGGGTTAGTGTTTTTGGCAATGATAGCGTGTATCCCTCCCCCAAACTTATCATATACTACAAAAGGGTTTGAAGCAAAAGTTCTCATTGATTCACTTTTGAGTACGTGGAAAAAGTTCGTGACCCATATCTTGGCATAACTTTGCCCTTTTTGGAATACCGGGCTCTTTATTTTTGTCTTCCAATTTTCCGAAGACCGATTATTCTATTTTTTTTTATTTCTTTTTTTTTTTGGTTTCTTTTTTTTTTCATACCTCCCAATTTTTCGAAGGTATATATTTTTTTTCTTCTTAAACACATCCCCCCAAACTTAATAATGACAATGTCCCCATTGTTGCCAAAGGGACCAAAAGGGTACGGGTTGGGTGCAAGGGGAAAAGTGTTTGGGTTTAAAAACAAAAGGAGGGCCTACATCCTTTTAACTTTAGCACTACGAAAAATCATTCAAGGAGCTTGTACCTGAAATGAATAATGGAACTAGGCAAAACAAAATGAAATCCAACACCCATGGCATAAATATCCACACAAAAGAAAATGACATTTCGCAAAGCATACAAAAGACTCAATGAAAATGTATCAGTACCCAAAAGATATATCCAAAAATAATGTTTAAAGAGGTTGGATCAAAAGTTGAGAATTTAACCATATCTGTCAAACTGCTCACTGTGGTTAAACAGTGACTGCATCTACCGCCTCGGAGCTGTGGACAATAGGAGCAGCAACGGCAGGAACGATCGCAGTGGTGGTAGGCAACGTAGCAACAGCAGGAATGTGGGTAGCCGGAGGAAAGGGCGCAGCAACAACGGACGTTGGCAAGTGGGCTTGCAATGGTGGGAAGCAACGGACCTGAGGTGGGCAAAGACCGCTCGGGAATCGTGGAAGTTGGGCTGTCAAGAGAGGATCCTGACGCCCATAGAGTTGTCTTTCCACCCGGTTCCAGTCTCTAGTGTATGCCCAATAACGTGCACTCTTCTTTTCCAACTCGGAGACTCGGTCCTCAATTCCTCCAACCTTTGACAATATCGCTTCCAATTTCTGATTTTTTTCCTCCCATTGTAATGCCAAAACGGACAGCCAAGTTGCCGACCCATACCCCGAGCCTAAAGGATTGCTTGGCGGTGGCTCGGAGGGGCTGGCCATATCATCTCCGCATCGTGGGATCTCGGCAGTTGGTTCGGCCATGGGGACAGCGGCTGGCTCAGATACATGCACAGCAGGCGGCTCGCTAACAGCAACATTTGGCGACTCAGAAACGGCAGCAACCTGTGGTTCGGGAAGGACAACCGGTGGCGCATTTGGTTGAATGGTGGATGGCGCCACTGGCTCTCCCGAATTTCTCTCAACCGGGACAGAAGGCTCGAATTGTACATAGGGCCGAGATGCCCTATGCCGGCGGTCAATGGTGTTTTATCCCAACAAAGGAGAACCCTCAACAATAGAGTCCTCATCAACAGTCGGGACCCGAGCCTTGGCCAAAAGTTTGGTGATTAGGGCCGGAAAGACCAGGCGGGAATTTATCCTTTGCGCGACGGTCAAGATAGAGGCTTGTATGATCGGCCCAAGGTCGATGGGTAATTCGCGCATTATGCAATAAAGAAGGATGCACCTGTCCCTTGAGATAGTACTATC